AAATTCGGTTATGTTTGAATTCTTATGCAATAATGAGTACAAGTGTATCTGTTATTCTTTTTTGTTTCTGCAGAAAGCATATCACCACAACGTTGCAGGCCAAAGCACACACAACGCACCAGCAAACCACAAGCAAACAAAACAGATATTAATCATTAGCCCAATTTATCTAGTAAACACAGAAATATACACCAACTATGGGTGTAAGTCTATATGTATGTGTATATACACAATTATAAATATAAATTAATCTGTTATTATTATTTCCTTTCTTTTCACTGCAAAAAGCAGTTCATCATTATCACAGTGCAAGCCCAGGCACACACAGAGAGACTCCAAGAACACACACACACACAATGGAGTAGCAATAATAATTATTATAGGATAAACACAGAGAGAGCAAAAAAACACACAACAACACACATTAACATTAAGAAGCAAAAAAGAAGAAAAATATCCCAAAAGGTGGAAGATTAGTTAGACTGTAGTGTGGATGCATGCAAAAAAGAAAAAGAAAACAAAGGATGACCTGAGTCACACCATCATCACCACTACTCAATCAGCACACAAGAATACAGGCCAGTGTAACCACAATCAGTAGTGGTACACGCACCCACACAGAACTGCTGATACTACTGCTGCTGCTGTCTGCATCACCCTTCTTGTTGTTTGTGAGTTCAGGAGGAAGTGTTGTAGTTGTGGTAGTGATGGTTGATTCCTCATTATTGGGTGTATTGGCGTTGTCAGAATTCGTGTTTTCTGACTTATTGGTCTCACTTGTGTTGTTGTTTGATTGGGAATCCTCTGTGGTGGGCGTCTGGTCCTGTGAAGTATTGTTCTCTTGTGTGCCAGGACCACTTGTACTGGTGGAAGTAGAGGAAGTGGGTGTTGTTGTTGTGGTGGTGGTGGTTGAGGTGTCTGTATTTTCCAGACCTTCTTGGGTACTTGTTGAGTCACTCCCATTGTTTGCACCGTTATCACCGCCGTCACGCTCGGTGTCTGAATTGGTAAGAGAAGAAGAAGGTTGTGCTTCGGTACCTTCCGCTTTAGCTGTACTTTCATTTGTCGAACTTTTATCCCCGCTTTCCATTCCTGGTCCACTTACAGGTACAGCAGGACTCCCAGCAGCAGGGGAAGCAGCAGCATGAGGTAATTTTCCAGGTTTAGCATCCCGAAGATTTTGTTCACCGTGAGCACCAGCGGGACGTGCTTCAGCCCTATCTTCACGTGCTAGGTTAGAATTAGAACCCCTGGGATTTGCAGAACCGATTGCATCATTGGGATCTTTATGTTCTTGTTCAGGTTTTAGATGATTTTCGTTTGCTTTATCAGAATCCGCTACCTGCGTTTCCTTTGATACACAAGTTTCAGTATCTTTACCGCAACTCTCTTTAGGTTTAAGAGTAATGGTAGTGCAACCTTTCTTTTCAGTGGATCCCACACATTCACCACGAGGAACTGCAGGTTCACTGGGAATACGAGAACACTCTGGACCAGTAGACTCAGCTTTACAAGTATCATCATCATCACTATCACCAGCAGGAACAACTCCAGCATCTCCAGCAGTATGCGAATTCATTTGAGACACTTCAGCAAGTTCAGCTTCTTGTTGTGCCTCACCTGCCACCACACATGCCACGCTTAACACCCCAACCATAATATACAACAAACGTTGCACGAGTATCATTTCGGCAAAAAAGTATACTGTGTTGTTTAGGACCAATTAACTGCAAAACGAAGAACAAAAACAATTGTAACATAGTATAAAGAAAAGAAAATAGTACAACAAAAAAAAGCAGTGAAAATACATTACAAAAAAAAAAGAATACAGTAATACCACATATACAAAAACCCAAGAAAAACAAAACAAAGAAATTAAGAGCACACAATACCCAATCCAGAGAACTGTGCATATGTGTGAGCTAATATGAAATTAATACTATATTTGTCTGTTACTATATTATTTTTCCAAGGACTCACGATCATCATTGCCGCACGAGAAAAACACAATGACCCAGCAAACCATAAGCAAACAAACAAAGAGATATTAACCATTAGCCCAATTTAACCAGTAAACACAGAAATACACACCAACTATGGGTGTAAGTCTATATATGTGTATATATACGCAATTATAAATATAAATTCATCTGTTATTATTATTTTCTCTTTCCCACTGCAAAAAAAAACAGTTCATCATCATTATCACAGTGCAAAGCCCAGGCAAACACAGAAAGAGAGTCTCCAAGAACACACACACACAATGGAGTAGCAATAATAATTATTATAGGATAAACACAGAGAGAGCAAAAACACACAAAACACACAATATCATTAAGAAACAAAAAAAAAGAATAGCCCAACAGGTGGAAGATTAGTTAGAATGTAGGGATGCATGCAAAAAAAGAAGAAAAGAAAACAAAGGATGACCTGACTCACACCATCACCACAATCACAATCAACACACAAGAATACAGGCCAGTGTAACCACAATCAGTAGTGGTACACGCACCCACACAGAACTGATACCGCTGCTGTCTGCATCACCCCTCAAATTTGGCATTATGGTGTTATTGCTGATTCCAGTGATAGGAGGAATTGTATTGGTGGTGGTAGCAGGTGAGGTTGAGTCCTCATTACTGGTGGTATTGAGAGTAACAGA